ATAAATAAATAAAATCTTTAAAAAAAAAAAAAAGAAAGAAAGAAAGAAAAGCTGCCATGGGTCCTGAAGCTCGTAAACTGGGATGGGAGGCTTGTGTGGAAAATTCTTGGGTCCCTCACCCCACTCTGTAGGACTACTCAGTGGAGGGGCTCCAACCAAAGTGGCCGGGGCCCTTTGTATAGTACCAGAAAAATACTTTATATTCTGCATTGAGCATTTGAACAGTTTCTGCCATAATCATCACTGATTTCGTACCCATAGTTGTTATAAGGAGAAAAATAGGTGATTTTTTTCTAACTCTAAAAGGAGCCAAAGAGTTTTAATATTGGTTGAGCTCATTATAACAAGAGCAGTGGAGTCTTAAATATTACACCATATTGTGTAAATATCACACAAGTAAATTTCCTATAATAAAGATACAATGTGTATACACTATTTCCTTTGACAACAAGTAAACAAATGTTCTTCTATCCAGGCTAAAGTCTCTATAAAGATTGTATGTCACAGTTAAAGGAAAATCTCACAGGGAGTTCCTACCACACAAACTATTCAATTTTATAACAGTTGTTTTTTGGGGGTATTGGTTTTTGGTTTTACTCTTCTAAGTCTTTGTTATAAACCTCACACTACAGTGTTATTATTTTTTATTTAAATTGTTTATTGTTATTTTAAAAGATTTAGAGAATTAAAAAAATCTTTTAAAACGTACCTACATTCAGGGCGCCTGGGTGGCTCAGCCAGTTAAGTGTCCAACTCTTGATTTCTACTCAGGTTGTGATCTCGGGGTCCTGGGATCAAGCCCTGCATCAGGCTCTGCACTCAGCGGGGGACACTGCTGGAGATTCTTTCTCTCCCTCTCTCTTTGCCCCTACCCCTTGTGCACACACTCTCTCTCTCTCTCTAAGTAAATAAATAAATATTTTTTTAAAAAACGTACCCACACGTGATAGACACTGGGGAGGGTATGTGCTCTGGTAAGCGCTGTGAATTGTGCAAGACTGTTAAATCTCAGATCTGTACCTCTGAAACAAATAATGCAATATATGTTAAGAAAAAAAAAAAAAAAGAAGAAGAAGAAGGTAGCAGGAGGGGAAGAATGAAGGGGGGGACATCAGAGGGGGAGATGAACCATGAGAGACGATGGACTCTGAAAAACAAACTGAGGGTTCTAGAGGGGAGAGGGGTGGGAGGATGGGTTAGCCTGGTGATGGGTATTGAGGAGGGCACATTCTGCATGGAGCACTGGGTGTTATGCACAAACAATGAATCATGGAACACTACATCTAAAACTAATGAGGTAATGTATGGGGATTAACATAAGAATAAAAAAAACAAAAACAAAAACGTACCCACACTTTTTTTTTTCTTTCGGTCACTCCACTGTCTTCTCGCTTGGATCATTTCCAGTGAGAAACTCACTGCTTTCCTTGTCTTTGTTTCCCTTGTGTATAACGTGTCTTTTTGTCTCTGGCTGATTTTAAGACGTTTCTCTTTATCATTGGTGTTGGACAATTTCATCCTGATGTGCCTTGGTATAGTTTTCTTCATATTTCTCTTGTTTAAGGTTTGTCGAACATCTTGAAACAAACTTTTCTTTGAAACATTTCTTCCAATGTTTCTCCTCCTCTTTGGGCTATTCCGGTGACTTATGTGTTCACTACTTGGCTTGTCTCACAGTTCACTGATGATGTTCTTTTGATTTTTAAAATTTTTTTTTCTTTAATCTCTGTTTTTTATTTGGAATAGTTTCCACTGCTATGTCTTCAACTTCACTATTTTTTCTTCTGCAACTTCTAAAATGCTGTTAATCCATCCAGTATAAATTTTACCTGAGACATTGAGTTTTCATCTCTAGAATTGCAATTGGGTATTTTTTAATATCTAGTAGTCTCCCCTTATGACACAGTTAATCTTTCTTCTAGCTTCTTAAACGTATGGACTGTAGTCATAATAAGTGTTCTAAAGTCCTTGCTTGCTAATTCTAACATCTCTGTCAGTTCTAGGTTGGTTCCAGTTGATTGGATTTTTTCCTCACTATGGGTCATATATTTCTGCTTCTTTACATTCCTGGTATTTTTTGTTAGATGCCAGATATTGTAGATTTTACCTTATGGGTGCTAGATATTACTTTATTTCTATAAATACGCTTGAGCTTAGGTCTGGGACACAGTTGAGTGACTTGAAAACAGTTTGACCCTTTCAGGTCTCATTTTTAAGATTTGTGATGTGGGAAAAATGCTCATTCTAGGCCTAATTATTCCTCACTCCTGAAGTAAGGCCCTTCTGAGTACTCTGCCCCATAAGTACTCTGGGAATTGTGAGGTTTTGGAGTCTGGCTGATGGAAGCATGCTCTGTTCCAGGCCTGGGGACTGTTAGGCACTATGTTTTCTAAGCCTTTCCAGTGATTCTTTCCCCAGCCTCTGGTGTTTCCTCACACACATGAGCAGATCAGCCCTCAGCTACATACTCAGAAGGGTTTCTGTGAGTTCTCTCTTTGTGAAGATCTCTCCTCTCTTCCACTCTTCCCTGCAAACTCTATCTGGCTCAGTCATTCCAGACGTTTAATTTTATCTCTTCAACTCAGGGAGTCTGCCAGGTTCTGCCTGGGTCCGCCTTCCCTCGCTACACCACAGTCTATGAACTATCTCAAGGCAGGAAGCTGGGTGATTATAGGGCTCACATTATTTTTTCCTGCCTCTCAGGGGCAGCCATTTTTAATTACCTGATGCCCATATTCTTTTTTTTTTTTTTAAGATTTTATTTATTTATTTGACAGAGAGAGACACAGCGAGAGAGGGAACACAAGCAGGGGGAGTGGGAGAGGGAGAAGTAGGCTTCCCGCTGAACAGGGAGCCCATGCGGGGCTCGATCCCAGGACCCTGAGATCATGACCTGAGCCAAAGGCAGATGCTTAATGACTGAGCCACCCAGGCGCCCCCTGACGCCCATATTCTTGAAACCATTTTTCACATACTTTGTCCAGTTTTTCAGTTGTTTCAGGTGGGAGGAAAATCTAGTTCCTATTACTTCAGCTTGCCAGAAGCAGAAGTCTTCTTTAGGTCTATAACCAGTAAATATTTTCCATATTTTACCCTTAACTATATAATAAGAGAGGTAACAAGATCAAAGAAATTGTTTTCTCAAATTTCTTCCATGTCTCTAGGATTCAGCTATTAAAAACATCCTCTGATTTTTATTTGACAGAGAGAGAGAACACAAGCAGGGGGAGGGGCAGAGGGAGAGGGAGAAGCAGACTCTCCGCCGAGCAGGGAGCCTGATGTGGGGCTCCATCCCAGGACCCTGGGATCATGACCTGAGCCAAAGGCAGACGCTTAACCGACTGAGCCACCCGGGTGCCCCAAAAAACTTACATCCTCTGATATTCAGACGTTCATTTTAATTGAGGCTGAAAAAATGAATTTATGGAATTTATAAATTTTGATTCTACAAAGCTGAGCTTCCTTCTCTTTATTTTCACCACAGGGTGAGGTAGTTGGAATTTGGGCTGGGTAAACCAGCTCTGGAACCACGTCTCCACCAGCTGTCTTTGCTCAGACACATGGGCAATTAAAACTGGTGGGAGAGAGTCCTACAAGGAGATGAGGCACTGTTAATCCTTATTAGTGGGCCTGCCCTTGAAGGTTGGATCCAGAACACTTAAATAGAGCCTGGACTGTGTGTTTGCTTTTTCCTTTGAACTCTTCTGCAGCAGCTAGTTCTTCAAGCGAAGGCAAATTCCCTGTTTCTCACTTAGGTGAGCATAGACAAATAGCCACGAATAACATCCATCAACAATCAGGTTTTTTTTCCCTTCAGGCCACTCCCCAGACCCACATCCAACTTTTTCTCCCAGGACGAATAAGTCTCCTCTTTCTTCTTCTTGCAGAAGGGCTACACCCCAACCACCCTCCTCCCAGGCGACCTTCTCTTCTAACGCATAAAGCATTTCTCATTAGGTAGGAGAAAAAAATCTTACAATTTAATCTTCAGTAGGTTCATCCTCTAGTAGCCACCCATATCCCCCACCCCTGCTAATATAACATAATATCTATGGTAAAAGTTCAGATAGATTTAGAATTTTCAGGTGCTCATATTTACAGAGTCGTTACCTGCCCTCACTTAACATTGTTCTTTCTCTGCTCCTTCCAGCCTTTTGCAATGACAAGAGAAGCAGTCTAAACCATGAGCATGGACTTATAGTTGTATAGAGTCCACATGAAGCTAGTAAGGTTCTTATCCAACATTTAGTAAAAAAAAAAAAAAAAGAATATATATGTCTTGGTCAGTTAGGGCTGCTAGAACAGAATACCACAGACTGGGTGGCTCATAAAAATAGACATTTATTTCTCACAGTTCTGGAGGCTAGTTCAAGGTCAAGGTGCTGGCAGTTTCAGTGTTTGGTAAGAACCCACTTCCTGGTCCACAGATGGTCATCTTACATGGTAGAAGGGGCAAGGGATCTCTCATCTCTGGGGTCTTTTTTATAAGGTATTTTATAAGGTACTAATCCCATTAACGAGAGCTCTCATAATAGCATCACCATGGGGGTTAGGATTTCAAGGCATGATTTTTTGGGGGGGGGTGGGAGGGACATAATATTCAGTTCATTGCAAAATATATACACACAGATATATACATTTTGTTTTTTATTGTTTTGTCAGCGTGGCATTTAAGAGCTATGCATTTGCTTCTGGATTTTCTCCCCCTTATTGAAGATGCATCCACAATCGTTTGCTATTTCATCTTAAGAGATGGTCATCCTTTCTCCTTTATTTCGTGTTTTACTCCTTGTATCAGGAAACCAGTGACACAATTTCACTTGGACACTCTGACAATCGAGAAAATAAATCCTTGGAATTCCCCTGTTCATTTCTATCTGCGGGCAGTGGGCATTTATTGAGGATTTGCGGCCTGTCCGGCACAGAGAGGGTTTGAGCTCAGTCCTGCTGACGGCCTATTTCCCTTCCCTGACTCCAGGCCTCTTGACTTCTTTCCACAGGTGCCACAGTGAACAGAGACGACAGCTGCCAGTCTGACAGCAGCGGGTTCCTGGATGACCCCCTGGAGCCGCTGTCCCTGCAGGTAGGGGGCCACTGGAGGGTTGGAATATGGGTAAAAGGAAAGATAAGTAGAAAGCACGCCATGCCACCACATTCGGAAAGGGCAGCCAGCCCTTGGAAGACACGCACCATAGGCAGCCAAGGGACAGGGATTGGAGTCACACTAGACAAGGTGACAGAAAGCTTAGCATTCCTTTCCTTTTTATTTTCTTTGGATTTTGCCAAACAAGGAAGCTGAGCCTCATAGACGGAAGGGCTTAGTTAAAATAGTGAACTAAAGTAAACCTGAGTTTGTAACCCTTATCTTCTGACTCCTAAATCAGTGGTAATGATAAGGAAAAGACACATACACGTCTTAAACCTAGCGCCTCCCCCACCCTCCTGACCCATTTGCCTTTATCCTGGTTTCTCACACAGATGCCTTCCTTGCCAAGCAGCCAGAGTCCTGCTGAGAATGGATGTAGAAAGCCAAGGGATCAGAGCCAGTGCCTAGTGCCGCCCCAGGACTGCCAGCAGGAGTCAGATGGCTCTGATTCCAAGAGTATGGTGAGCACAGCCTTCTCAAATCAAGACTGGAGTATCATGGAGGAAAAGGCCTCAACATCTACGGTGGAGAAAGAGTCTCCGTTTGAGGATACAGAGAAGCCACCAGAGCCATTGACCCCAGATATGGCCTTTGCCGAGCCCGCCAGAGGAGAACAGCCAAGGAAAGACAGCCATCTGAGGCAGCATCTGCCCACGCCCCGAATGGAAGATGAGGCCATGGTGGGCACAGCTATCTCCAGATGTGACTGCCCTCTGGGGTTTAGGGTGCCCCACATCACAGAAGTCAAGGATGGGTTACTGAAGCTTGAGGGAGCTGGGGAAACCTACATGCGAACCCACCACTGCAAGTCCCAAAGATCACCTGGAGTTGATCCTGCTCATGACAAGCTCCTTCATGTAGACTCTGAGGCTGCAAGAGGAGCAGAAAACAACAAAATCTATCCGGACACCAACAATACCTCACTGACAGGAGAAAGCCCACCACAGCATGTCCCCAAGCCCAGTAATGTCATGTCCTATACAGTTGACCTTATCCAAACATCCGAAAAGCTCATTCCCCACCTAGATAAACCCACTGGAGATACTCCCCACACAAAGCCAGTATGTAGTGCTTTGGGTCACATACCACATAGAGCAGAACCTGAGATGGAGAAGTTTCCTCTAAATGCTGACTCAAACACTGTTGGTTCCAAGCCTGTGACAATCCAGATGTCCTCCAATCTGGCATCAGCTGCTCAGAATGCTGTGGCTTTGGGGACTGGTTGTAAAAGAACAACTTTAGAATGCACTGTGCGTGACCCTGCTCCCACAACAGAACCAGGACTGGAGACAAAATTGAGACAGTGCTGTGATGTTTCTGTTCAGACCAATATAAGTGAGCCTAGGCCCTGGCATTGCTGTTCAGCTCCAAGTACCAAGGCCCAGCGCCTCACCAAATCCGTCTCTCTAGACACAGGCTTCCCTCGTATCTACCCAGCGGGCATCTGCCATGCTGTATCCACCCACTGCTGTGTGTGCTGTCATCACCATCCCCACTGCCACTCAGAGAGGCAGAGCCCTGGCCCTGTGCCCTCAGCCTGTAGGCACTGCTCATGCTCACATCATCATCTGGAAGCCCAGTTTGTGAAGACTTTGAACGTCCTTCAGGACACTACAGTGAAGGAGCTGTGTTCTGTAAGTATTCATCTCTGCCAAGAGGGAAGACAGATGGAGCAATAGCCCCTCAGGGATAATGTTCAGGTCCCCTGAATGCAAGCTTTCAGGGCATACCTTTCCATCTCAAATCATGAGTAATATCTGCAGAGAGCTTTATATCTTACGATATATTCTCACAAGTTTCTTCTTATCTCATATGTCCAATCACCTTCTGAAGTAAGGAGGCAAATTTCATTATTAATTTCCATTTGACAGAGTGATATAGAACAATAAATTCATGTGTAAGGTTATAAACATTAATGCATCTGTACCTCATCTACAATTCAGTCTGACTGAACAATTCTCTGTCTTAAATTCACTTAACTGAATAATCTTGCACAAGCCATTACATCTCTCTGAGCCTAGTTCCTGCTTTGTAAAATAGGGAGACTTTTCATGCCATAGACACAAGATTGTTTTAGGATTGAGTGAGAGAAAGCCTGTAAAGCACTCAGCATGCTCGGACACTCAGCATGGTGCCCAGCCCACAGAAAGCCCTAGAAAATGCTAACTGAGTGGCTCTTATTCTTATTATTAATTTTCATCACTGTTTTATTATTGTTCAGCTCTTGAATCTAGAGCCTCTCTAGAAGCTCTATGTCACATAGAGGGACTCCTGCTCCATCTTGCTGAGTTTATTTAAAAGTGGACATTGAGTTTACTGAAAACTGAATGACCCCCAACCTGTTCAGCCCCTGATAAATCAATAAGCATTTAGTGAGTCCTTCTAGTGTCCCCTCTTCAGTGATTCTCAAGGTAAGAAATGATCTAGGTTGTCAAGGTTAGCCATTCATTAAAAAAATTAAGAGCATCACACATGAAACCACCTGCACTGAAAGTGAAAAAACAGAAAGGTGGCACAGATAACATAGGGCTACTGCTGTTCAAAGGAGAGCGGAGGGCAACTGTAATTTATTAAGCATCTACTGTTTGATGCCTGACAGGTGACCTTCCCATTCTTTTAATTCCACAAATATTTATTGAGTGCCTATGCTAATTACTTTATTTACCGTATGTTGAGTAACCTTCATTTTCACCCATGCCATAAATCCTGAGCCCCTCATATATATGCCAAGTCCTCCCTCTTTTACAAATGAGGAACCTAGAACCAAGAGAGTGTAACTTTCCAACTTCCCCCACTAATAAGTGGTTAGTTCTGATTCTAATTCAGATCTAGCTGACACCAAATTCTCAGACAACACACTCCAGGCAATGATGTGTCTAACTTTAAAGTATCTAAATCTGTAGAAGTGTAATAACAACATGAGAAAGTGATTACGAGAAAGATAAGGCAAGTTACTACATAGCCCTTCAAGATCTAGAAATCTGCATAAATGTTATATAAAAGTAGAAAGAGAATCAATGAAAGATAAGTAATTTACTACATCATTTTTCAAATTGCAAGGTTTGAGACATTTGGAATATTTTTAAGTGGGTTGTTAAAAGGGTTGAACTAGTGAAAGAAGTCATTGAGATTAATTCTGCTTATAATACTATCCAAAAGTTTCATGGGAGTGAAGAACAAAGGCTGAGGTCCATCGGACTTTCAAAAGACCCAGGTTCAAATCCTAGAAAGTAGTAGGAGTCATCCCCACCATCATCATCACTAATATTTATTAAGGGATTTTAAATGCTGTAAGGTGGTGGGTTTCAACTGGGGATAATTTGCTCCCATCCTTAGTAATATTTTGCAATGTTTGAAGACATTTTGGTTGTCATATCTGGGGTAGGCATTGCTGTTATTAGTGCGTAGAGGTCAGGGATACTGCTAAACATCCTACAATATGCAGGACAGCCCCTGACCCAACAAAGAATTATCTAGCCCCAAATAACAACAATGTCAGGGTTGAAAAACTCTGCTTTAAGGAAATAAACATATACTTGGCTACATAGTTAACATAGGAAAATGTTAGGTATGAAAGATGGCTGGAGAAGATAACATTTTAAGAGGTTGTAGGGGGAAAAAAATATTAAATCCTACAATTAGGTACTCCAGTTTCCATGATGTAAACCAGGTTGTTGGTCCAAAATATCCTGAAAGATTTTTTTCTAATTTACATTTTTAAGGTAAGTTCTACAAGGATATATAAATTAAACCATATTTAGTTTTATATTTAATTTTATTAAAAATAATAAAAATCAAAATTGTGCTAAAAACTCCAGAAGAAATGGTCTCTTTAGATATACCCAATGTCAATCTTTTAATGGAAATGTTTATTTATTCCATAATAAGATACTATCTAGTTTCTGTTCACATCGCAACTCTTAAAAACAACCCATTTACTGATTGGGTTAAAAAGAGAAATAGGGGTGCCTGGGTAGCTTAGTCAGTTCAGTGTCTGCCCTTGATTTCCACTCAGGTCATGATCTCAGGGACATGAGACTGAGCCCCACATGGGGCTCCACACTCTGATCATGGAGCCTGCTTAGCCTGCTTACAGAATCTCTGTCTCCCTCTCTATCTGCCCCTCCCCTCCCCACACCACCCCACCCCATTCCCGTTCATGCTCTTGCTCTCTCTCTCTCTCGCTCGCTCTAAAAAAAGAGAGAGAGAGAAAGAGAGAAATAACAAACACATATCCACAGACTAAGAAGCTAGATGTCTGTCATCAAACTGTCTTTGGGAAGCACTATCATTTCATTTATTAATATAATAATCAAGTATCTTTGGCAATAGCCATATATGATACTCAATTAGCCTATCATTTATTCAGTTATATGGCCACAAATGAAAAAAGGGGAACTCAGCCTTTCATGGCACAAGTGGAAAAGACCTAATGAGGGTTTTTAGCATGGTTGAGGTGACTGTGACAAATCAGTGCAGACAAAAGGGACACCAGGGTCTGGAGTGGCTCAGTTATTCAAAGGGTAGGCCTGACGACAGGTGCTAGGAAAACCACAGCATCCAGAGAGCATAGCTGACCAGTTAGTACAGCCCAGCAAAACCATTAATATGAAAGGTTTTAATAAGACATAAAGGATTTATAAGGTATTTGGGAGTGTCCTCATGAATTTGTAGGAGCATGGTTCTGGAAACTGCAGAAGCCAGCTACAGGGTAAGGACTGGTTCTGGCAGTGAGGCAAGGACATTGATTAGAACAGGAACCAAAGATTAAGCCTGGGTCAGCTCCAGGGGTGAGTGACCTTTCATGCAGAGCAGAGCTCTCCCCATTTCTTGCTGAACTTGGGCCGAGGTAGCCCCAGCTGTGTGGGGAGATCTGACAACTGAAAATAGACCTTTTTCTTGCTTTGACACTATGAGACATCGGCTCTTCTGCAGAACATACAGGGGATTTGTGTCCTGTTATGCACAACGGCCATCTTCAGGGTTGTGTGTAGCTTTCAAATGAGTAGGAGTTTAAATGAGTGTGCATGCCACCATCTCGTGTCTTCTAAAACCTTGTGTCATATTGCCTCTGCCTGCTGTCCTCCTAGAATTCACAATTGTACAAAAAAAAGGTATTTTCACATCAAATTGATCTGACATTATACACCCTGAAATGCATACTATCTCAGGTTTTATTAGATGACAATGCATTTCTCCTTATTTAGAGTCAAGGGACCACAAACATACAGAGAAAACGGTCTTTTACATGTGCCTTATTATACTCGTGGGCAGGTATACACGCAGGCACACAGAGAACTTGCAGAAAAGCAAGTGAAAATGGGGGATTGCATTCACCCACAAGAGCAGGCTGCTTAAGCCAAAGAACAAACTCAGGAACAGAGAGAAAAGGTATCTATGGTGAGTGACTCTGGGTTTGTAAGGCCTGAAAAATATTCTGGAGAAGAATGTCTCTAAATCAGATACTAGGTGCTAACTACGGTTACAAAAATTATTTATTAAAAAAACTTATCTGGACAATTAATCTTGGATCAAGTTCAGATTATAGGCAGGGATAGATCCTATCTATTACCTTTCAATGGAAGTTCCAAGCAAGTGTTGAAAGTAAGAGCAATTTTAGGTAAAAGACTCAGAAAAACCTCCCCACCTCCTCCCCTTACAGAGCAGTATGTAACAGTGCAGAGACTCACTTGACTAATTGGTAAATGCTATTTCTGTGGTCTTGTGGGACACCATGGTTTGTTGATATGATTCATTCTTTTGTATATGTGAATTCTTCAAAATAATTTAGTAATTAAAAAAAACTTTCCAGAAAAGAAAATAAGATCATCTGAAATTAGATGTTTGGATATTAGAAAATTCTTCTATGATGTTCATGATTTAGCTTTAAATAAAAAGAAAGCATACACAGCTTAACAAGTCAGATGAGCCAACTCAAAAGTGAAGTTTCAATGTTTTCTGGTGGTTTCTTGCTCTTACTACTAAAGTTTGTCTTAATGCGCTTGAGTCAGTTGAGTAGACCTTGAATTGATTCTGGGTTATAACCTAGCACTTACATCGGAAGAAAGAGTTTGAAACAGCCTCTTATTTTTTTTTCCTTGCCTAAGGTTTCCTTTTCTCTGAAAACTAATTCTATACCTGTTCTAGAGCTGAAATGTAGTGTTAGTACTTCCAAATGACCAGAAGATGGCAGTGTTTCAGAATCTTCCACCTCACTCCCTTCTCTGGTACCAAACAGCCAGGAGTTACTCCTATATCCCAGCCCCGCGTGCCTTCCAATCACAAAGGGTTACCCCAAAATAACTAGATGAAGCGTAAACTTTAATATTTCTAATGCTCAGCCTACTTGAGCACCATGTCTCCATGCCCCTGGCCTGACCATCCCTAGAACTTGGTCAGCCTGTAGGAATCTACTAGGACCATTCAACCAGCTCAGTCCTAAGGGACAAATAGCTTGTCCCCGTGTCTAGCCACACTGCTGTGACTCAGTTAGATCTTGAGAAGAAAAGAAATGAATCAGGCTTGAAATCTGCCCTTTTTTGACCTTGGACAAGTCAGTTTGCCCTTCTGTGTCAGAACACTTGTCTATAAAAAGAACACTTCATGGTCTCTAACATCCTTTCTAGTTTCAAGAGCCATAACTGTGGTCACCTTTCAAGCACGATTGCCAACATCAGTAACACTTCAAATACTCCTCTAACTGGTTCAAATGCACTCACACTGAAGCAAAAGTAATTAGAGAGTTTTGCCATGTAAAATATGTTATTCAAATATAAAAATTAAGGGACAGAATCAAACCGAACTCTCAGAGCAAAATGATGAGGAGTTTTCAGTATAAAAGCATCACTTGTAGGAAAGTATTTCTACTATGACAATTCCAGTAAAAGTAGCCATGAAGCTGCCAGGATCTTGGCCATGGGGCTTGGAGGAGAAGAGTAAGAAATCTGGGACTTCCTAAAAACAGGGCTAAGAGGAATTAACACAGCTGTAAGACTGGTCTCCATGGAAGTAAGAAAAGAAAGTTGAAAGAAGACTGCCATGAAAATCAGTTTCCTTTAAAGAGCTTTCCAGAAGCCCCACTCCATGCTCTCCACTTCCATCTCATTGCCATCCTACTACAAGGGATGCTGGGAAATGTCATTTGTTAGACACATTGTTGCCCTAAGACATTAGAAGTCTGTTCATGTGAATAAAGGGGGAAAAGACAGTTAGCAGGCAGCTAGCAGCCTCTGCCATGCTACTCTGGGAGGCAGGGAGGGCAGGCAAACCCATGCGCCTGGTAGAGAAAGCATTAGGGTCTAACAAGCATTAATGTCGCTTAAAGTCAGATGGGTGGAGATACTGGGGTCCTGGATCATGCATGTATTCAAAGCATGATCCAACCTGGGCTGGAAAACAAGGGCGATAGCTAGTAAGAACTCAGCAAATCATCAGGTTCCCAACAAATGGACTGAACTTAGGGGCTGCAGGAAGATATATATCTATATCTATATCTATATATATCGATATAGATATAGATATAGATATAGATATAGATATAGATATAGATTAGGATATATATAGGCAGAAGCACAGTCATGCAGAGAAAGTAAGATTTAAAGAATGGTTCACATCAGGAACAATAAGGAGCAGGATGGGGAGCATAGACAGAGTTCAATTCTAGATTCCAGTTCATGAAGATAGTGGGATGCCTAAATGATGCCTGCCTTACTCTGGATGAGCTTGTTAGCCACATGGAGCTGATCCTGCAGATTTCACCATCAGGGATTGCAGTTAAGCAGGGCTAAGACTGATAAAAAAAAATATTCTAAGCAGACTTTCTCTAATCAAACACATACCATCAGGACAGATGTGTTCAATGTTATTGAGATTCAGAGTGAGGCAGTATTCAAAACCCAAGTTAAACAAGATTTAACAGGGCTCAACTTTCCTAAGCACAAACCCTTACTTAGGCCCTTTCCCTCCTGCTGTCCTTTATCTGCGTCCTTGTACCCCTACATCACCTAGTTCTTCAGACAGCCATCCTGTCTCCGGGACATAATGTCTCCAAGAGCCAATCAACAACCAACTACCGTCCCGTCCCAGCCAAGTATTGCCTGCCCTGGCCTGGAGAAGCCAAAGGCTGGGCTTTCCTCTTTATTCTTCCCCACACATTAGCGACAGGGCTTCATTGCAGACAAGGGAGCCCCAGGGGGGAAGGCAGGCTCCACCGTGGTGAGCTCTTGCAGTGAATCCAAAAGGACTTCCTTTTCAGCTCTTTCTAATTGTTCTCAGTGCACAGTCCACGAGATGGAAGTGATGAAGATGGTGTGCCGGAGTTTCCGGGAGCATCTGGAGGAAATTGAACAGCACCTTACAGGACAGCAGGCACTCTTTTGCAGGGACATGTCAGAGGAGGAAAGGTAATTATCGAAGAGAGTCATAAAAGTAAGTAGAGCCCACACACCTGGAGCAAGGAAAGGTAATCAGGGCAGGACAGATGAGCACCAGGGAGGAGGACTAATGAGAAATGAATCCTTTTCCTTTGCTTTCCTGTTCTTGTTCTTGCTTTCTCAGTGGGGGTCTGTGAGAACTATTTGCTAGATAGCAACACTCACTCTTTAAGGCCAAGGCTTTTTGAGGTCAGAAGATGGGCAGTCAGCTGGGAAGATGGGGATAGCCAGCAGGATATCTTCCATTAATGTGAATGGGACTTATGCAAATGTAAGTATTGGGGGTTCTTAGAGTTTTGAAAATCTGCATTATTTTCACATAGATGAAAAGCATATGTCCCAGAAGTCGATTAGCTGTTGCCTGGGCCTGAGGGGTGGGAATAAGGATTAACTGTAAAGGGACACAGGAGTTTTTATTGGGCAGAGGGAAGTGATCCCAAACTGACTGGTGGTGAGTGAAACAACTTGGCAAATGTACTAAAAATCATTGCATTGGACTGTTAAAATAGGTGAACTCCATGGTATGCAAATTATTCTGCAATAGAGTTGTTTAAAAAAGAAAGAACACCCGCCCTGGTGATATACCATGTCTGCCACTGATAACAAATAAAGAAGGTGACTTTCCCTTGTAAGAAATGTCAGAGGCCTGACCTACATTTTGAGAGGGATGATGGAGGACTGCGCTTGGAGGTGATGGGAAATGTGGTCGATTTCTATTCTCTACCTGCAGGGAGGAGGCCGAACAGCTGCAGACTCTCCGCTGGGCCCTGCGGCAGCAGATAGAAGAGCTGGAGTTTCATTTAGGAGACCGGGCTCAGCAAATCAAAGACGAGATTCTATTGGTACGGGGCAGTGGGTTGTGAAGCTGGACTCTGTCCTGCCGACCGCCGGAGGGATGCATTAAATCAGAAACCTGATAGTGCAATCAGTTCAGATTCTAGGATTATGGGCCAACACCTCCATTTTAAGTATAAAAAAAGTGAAGCCTTTGCTCAAGGCCACGTGGCTAGCTGGTAGCAATTGAGGATTAGAACTCAGGTCGTCTAATTCCTATGCCAATCTTTCCTCCTGTCCTGTAAATAAGTGATACATATTAATAATAATTATTATTATTAGCCATTTTCCCGATGAGAATAAGAAACACAACTGTTGAACTAGTATGGCTTAGTCATTGCCAGAATCTGCTGCTAACTCACAGAGCCCCCTCTAGAGAATTCCCCACCCAGGAGTACCTTTCCCAAAAGTCTGGCTTAGCTGTTTGGTGCAAATATGCTAAGTTGCCCACTCTTTTTGTTCTTACTTTCCTTTTAGCAGCTTGAGCTTCTCACAGAGGAACAACCTGAACACTATCCAAACCTGCATGACTGTAACTGGGCGGAAGAAAAGAATGGCTAGACTTCAGGTGATAAAGTCCACTCAGCCATGGTGCCGGGGGTTGCCTTTCCTCCCCACGATGGCCAGCAGGCTCCCAGCTCAAGGGTGACCCATTTGGCTGCCTTCTCTCCACCCACCTTGGAGAGCAGCACCAGGATGTCTCCTCCAGCTGAGGCAGAGTCAGGCCCAGCCCCTTTGTCAAATTGTCCTATTGGAGAAATGGGTATGAACGTCTTCCTCTAAATCAGAGTGGTTTTGGTGACCTTCCTACAAAGTGTAAGAGCACATTCTGGCCAGACAAGGAAATCTAAATTGCCCCCAAGAAGTGTTTATCAACCCTTCTTCAGCTATTTTTAAAAATATTCTACTCTGTGGTTCCACCCAAGAGAATCTCAATATTTCAATATCTATTCAATACAGAATAAGTGAGTACCTACTATGTGTCTGGCACTGGGAATACATGGTAGCCAAGATATAGATAGATAGATAGATAGATAGATAGATAGATAGATAGATAGATAGATAATAGATAGATAGATAATAGATAGATAATAGATAGATATAGATAGATAGATAGATAGATAGATAGATAGATAGATATAGAGATAGAGATATATAGATATCTAGGTAAAAATGATATACAGTCTTTGCCCTGCAGAAACTTAGAGTCTACTGGGGGAGATAGAATGTGGACACATAAAGACATATGGATTTGAAAACTGTGAAAGAGCTTTGAAGGAAATCACACGGTTTTATGAAAGACAACATAGAAGGGAGTCTGATTGAGATCAAGATGTCAGGAGGGCCTGGTTGAGAAGTGACAACAGATGAGGGAAAGAAAATCCAGGCCCCAGAAGTACCTGAGGCAGTCGGCCCCTGGAAGCACTGATGAAGCTCTTACCATGTGCCAGGAGATCCTCGAATGCTGGAGACGGCTGTGACACATAAAGAGTTGGATGGGGAGCGAAGAAAACAAGAACAACCAACAAGATAATTTCAACATTGACAAATGCCATGGAGAAGACAGTGTGGGAACACTGTAGGGGGTGGTATGGAAGAAAATCGAACGGCATTACTGAGGGTGACAGGCAGGGCCTTGCTGAAAGGAGGTTATTTGGCTTAGACCTGAATGGTGAGGAAGAGGAAGCCATGTGAAATTCTGGGGAAAGAACTTTGAAAGCAGAAGGAATGGAAAGTTTAAAGGCCCTGAGACAGAACCAGACAGAGTTGCTGAGCACATGAGTGATGGGAGCGTGGAGGGAGAGGAAGTCCAGGGGCCGACTGTATGCCAGAGCCTGAGAGCCAGGATCCTTCTTCCTGATACTTTCTGTCCATGGCATTGCCGTTCTCCTTGACGTGTAGACTCAGAGCCACAATTTCACATCATCTCCTCATCCTCCTTCATCCTCTTCCCTCAGAATCAATTATCACATCACTGCTGAGGGTACTGCCACAATGTCATTCCCAGAAGCCCCTTCAGAACCTATTACTGGGTGACAACCCAACAGAGGGGCTTCCTAACTGCCTCTAGCTTCCTTCTCTCTGAGCTATACTGGCCTCTGCCAAAGTGGTCTCCCTTGGACATCACTTGGGTCATATTACCCTGACCTAGGGTGAGTAGCCACGGAGTCCTTTTAGGCTATCCCAGAGAATTAGAGAGAAGTCACAGGATCATCCTTCCCAGAGCAGTGTTGCACCAAACAACCTCTGTTCCTTGCAATTATTATGCCCCTCTCCTTATCTCCAGCTGCCTCATTTCCTTTGATCACATCCCTCTTTTGGTTCCTGCATCATGTTTTAGTTTCCATCCCCAACTTGGCTTCTGATATATTGCATTTGTACCCCCAAATTGCTTTCCTTTCTAATCTTTTTAAACTTTTTACTCTTTCCCTGGGTCAGACTCCAGGCTCCCTTGTTTATCTCCAGTTCTCCAATGTAGATTTTGAAAAGTTTGCCATGGTTTCTGCAGATGACTTCAGATATGATGGAGAAGGAAAAGGAGACCTATTGCCTTCAGATGAAGGGTAGCATATGGAATCCCCAAGGATTGCTAAACATCTCATGGCATTTCCTTGTTTATTCTCCAAACTCTCCAACAAAGAGCACAAAAGGGGAAGCAAGATGTAGAGGGCTGCCCATCCCACACAGAACTTTGCTGTCTTCAACCCATGAAGGCTTGATTGCCAATGCTACTTCCAAATACCATCTTCTGTAGTGCATATCCTTCTTCCCGTAGACATGAGACCTCTAGAAGCCCAGCCCACCTGGTGATCTATGGATTAACTGTTAGTGTGTCCCCAGTGGTTCTCTATCCTGAAAACTCTTTAGACTCACTGGGGAGTTTTATAAAATACTGACTTTGAAGCCAGATCAATTAAACAAGAATCCCCAGGGATGGGATCCAGGGACCTACAAATTTTAAAAGTTCCCCAGATGATTCCCATATGCAGTTAAAATTGAGGGTTGTTGTTCTAGATGAAGAAGCTACCTTACAATTCAACTGTTCCTGTTGTTTTCTAAGGACTCTCTTTTATTTCCCATTTTTCTTTCTATACCACCCCTCTCAGCTAAAGAAGTCTTTCACAATTCATTGACAATCACTGAATAACAAAACTGGGAGACAAGAGAAAGAAAAAATGACATGTGGACTTTATTTCTATTTTTATAGCATTGAATTCTACCTTGCTCATCAGTTCCTACATTTCATCTTCATGGTAGTAAACAGACGACTTTGTTCTGTTTTCCTTCCTTTGACAAACCAGATTAAATATACATATTTGACCAGGTAGGTCAGGGTAAGGATTATTTGTTTCCTCAATTTAACACCTTCCTTCTCTTGCCAGAAATGTCTGTATAAAATAGTCAATTACAAAAATTATGGAAATGTAAGTAGTCTTCTAAATGTACATAGTTGTTTCGACACTAGGACACAGCACAAACATTCTAGAAAGTGAACAATTAAGACAAATTTCCTTTCCTTTAAAGAGCAAACTCTTTAATTCTGAAACCCAATTCAGGGTCAGAGTCATTTCATTTCAATGAAAAAGAAGGAAAAAGTAAAACCATATTACCTGTTTATTTTCAAATTTAGAAATTGGCAAGGGAACAATTTAACCTCTTCTATATCAAAGGACGAGGGTCGCTTCCCTGTATTAATTTCATTCTATCCAGACTCCATCTCTGTATTCAAAGCCAAAGCTTTGAATAGAGAAGACTGACTTGAGAAACAATATTGGGAACTCAAGTCACATATTTTCCTTGGTTTTGTTATGCATAAGTGAAGACCCAGGTTGCATAATGGAGACAAAAAGATAAAACCTTGAAGACTGCTTTGAACCACAGCATATGTATAGGCCGTGTAGATTTGTCTAAGAAAATATACTTTTTTTGTCCACAGATAAACATTTCCCAGAAAAGTGTCCCATTAAATTTTTTTTTTCATTTTTTTATTCTTATGTTAATCCCCATACATTACAACATTAGTTTTAGATGAAGCGTTCCATGATTCATTGTTTGTGCATAACACCCAGTGCTCCATGCAGAATGTGCCCTCCTCAATACCCACCACCAGGCTAACCCATCCTCCCACCCCCCTCCCCTCTAGAACCCTGTTTGTTTTTCAGAGTCCATCGTCTCTCATGGTTCGTCTACCCCTCCTATTTCCCCCGCTTCATTCTTCCCCTCCCCCATTAAATTTTGTTTAACAGATATTCCCTTATATGTGGATTTTTGTCTGCAGGACCAGAGTTATTTTGTCTTCAAAAGGAAATAATTCTGTTGAGGAAAAAAAAAAAAAAAGGTCAGAAGACTTCCTAATGACATGAAAATCTGGTCTATTAAACTGTTTTTTCTTTGTTGAGAAAGTAATCAGTTTCTGTGGTATAACACTGGTCAAATAAAATGGGACATTTGTGCAGAGTTTAAAGATTGAAAGTACTTTCCCTTTGAGAAGAAAAGCTTCAGAGTGTTTTATTGTGGGTTGGTTGGTTGCGTATCTAATTTCAAATGGTAATTAAAACAACAAAGAACAGACATAATTTGAGGGGTTATGGGTTATTAAAAATGATGTCAAATTGCCTTTTTTGAAATTGAGAGAATACAAGCAGAAGCCAAAATATGGATGTCACCTTTCTCTACCCAAACTCATGGCACCTTTCTCTACCCAAACTCAGTCTCTAATAGTCTATTATTATTATTTTTTTTTATTCTTATGTTAATCCCCATACATTACATCATTAGTTTTAGATGAAGTGTTCCATGATTCATTGTTTGTGCATAACACCCAGTGCTCCATGCAGAACGTGCCCTCCTCAATACCCACCACCAGGCTAACCCATCCTCCCACCCCCCTCCCCTCTAGAACCCTGTTGGATTTTCAGAGTCCATCGTCTCTCATGGTTCGTCTACCCCTCCGATTTCCCCCGCTTCATTCTTCCCCTCCCGCTACCTTCTTCTTTTTTTTTTCCTTAACATATATTGCATTATTTGTTTCAGAGGTACAGATCTGAGATTCAACAGTCTTGCACAATTCACAGCGCTTACCAGAGCACATACCCTCCCCAATGTCTATCACTCAGTAACCCCAACCCTCCCACCCCAGCCCCCACTCCAACAACACTCAGTTTGTTTCCTGCGATTAAGAATTCCTCATATCAGTGAGATCATATGATACATGTCTTTCTCTGTTTGACTTATTTCACTCAACATAATACCCTCCAGTTCCATCCACGTCGTTGCAAATGGCAAGATCTCATTCCTTTTGATGGCTGCATAATATTCCATTGTATATATATACCACTTCTTCTTTATCCATTCATCTGTCGATGGACATCTGGGCTCTTTCCACAGTTTGGCTATTGTGGACATTGCTGCTATAAACATCGGGGTGCACGTACCCCTTCGGATCCCTACTTTTGTATCTTTGGGGTAAATACCCAGTAGTGCAATTGCTGGATCATATGGTAGCTCTATTTTCAACTTTTTGAGGAACCTCCATACAGTTTTCCAGAGTGGCTGCACCAGCTTGCATTCCCACCAACAGTGTAGGAGGGTTCCCCTTTCTCCGCATCCCCGCCAACATCTGTCGTTTCCTGACTTGTTAATTTTAGCCATTCTGACTGGTGTGAGGTGGTATCTCATTGAGGTTTTGATTTGGATTTCCCTGATGCTGAGCGATATTGAGCACTTTTTCATGTGTCTGTTGGCCATTTGGATGTCTTCTTTGGAAAAATGTCTGTTCATGT